AGGATCACAATAAATTTTCCCTGACAGGTGGGGCCGCGCGCACTGCAGCAGTGTGCGGTCGGGTCTATATTTGCATTTTTGTTCTTTAGTTATCGTGTGGTTGGGGGTGGGCCAACATAATGCAGGAGCTCCTACACACACACGCCCCCCCCCCTTCCCCACACAGACATGGACAGACGCTTCACTACCTTATTTTTTATTTTCCAAAAAAGAAAATAATTCATGCCGAAGATTCCATTATGTCAAATCAGATCTCTCGTTTCAATTCTACGTTCCTCCGTACACCACAAACCAAAGCGGCAGTCGGGGCAGTACAGTACGCAATGCACATTTATAAGGGTAAAGGAAAGAGAAACGACTCCATTCGCATTAAGTCGCCTTTGCTCCACATTTTCTTGTAGCGTTGCTGCAGCACACAGCAAGTCTAACCGCCTGCCTTCGGCTTTCAAAACTACCCGCCAATTATGCGCTTAGTAAAGCGCCTGGCTAGTTGTGTGTGTGGCCCCCTGCTTCCCCCTTCTAGACCCCTCTAACACGGCACACACACACATACTACAACACGGCCGCTAAACAACCAGCGAGCGTCGCTGCGGCGCAGCGATCGACCTGCCATACGTGATAAATAACGGAGCCAACGACACCCGGGCATTGACACAACGACTCATAATTACTGCCAATACAAACATCCGCCGGCGTCATCTGTTCACCGATATGCCTGAGCGGCGGCCGCCAGGACGACCAGGGTGGCCACGCGTGCTCGTGTACGCGTGTGTGTGTGTGTGTGCAGCATATGGAAGGCGCGGGATGGGGTTTATTGTTATGATTGCGACTGTGCGCCTCTACATGTGTGTGTGTTTGAGTGTGTGTGTGTGTGTGTCATCTACAAACGAGCAAAAGACGGGCTGATGCAGGAAGGAAACAACGTAACGAGGATACGCGTTTCTGCTAAAAAGTGAGCCATCATAAGAGAGACACAACTTACAAGGAAAGGCCGCACCGGGAGGGAAGAGGGCTCAGCAATTTTTGACACCATGCCCACCCACCCATCGCCTAACCTGCTGCCCTTCTCTGCCTTTTCCTCCCCCCCCCCCCTTCTCTCTCTCTCTCTCACACACACAGAGAAGGTCGGCCCGTGCACGCGTAATAACGCCTATTTGAGCGGGCGGAAGCTGGTTGCCCTTTAGCTGTAACAAGAAAAACAAACACACGCACGCGCACACACACACGCGCGAACACACGCACACACACACACACGCAGGTTATAGCAGGTGAGGCCGGCAGCTGCACCCCCGGAGGCAACACACGTTCGAGGCGAGTCATCCACGCCGAAGCCCGGGCAGTTTATGCAGTTGGTCCACTTTGAGTGTTGTCCAATCTGATACACCGGTGGTCCATTCAATCATCTGCTCTTGGCCGCCGAAAGCGTTCAATGGCCTGCGGAAAGGTATGAATGGGGAGGCGTGGCAGTATGTAGAAACGGTTAATTATCATTATTTATGCCTCACAAAACAAACAAGCTTCCCATTTTATTTTATTTTTGATATTTTTACTGTACTTTTTTGCGAAAAATTGAGAGGCGTAGGTACAGACACATGTGCCGTATATCTGCCGTCCGTGTCCAGAAACATACCACGCCCGTGTGGATCGAGGACGCTCCAGAGGAGTGCGGAGGAAATAGAGGAAGCAGCGCCGCCAGGCAAGAGGCCCACCTGTCGCGCGTCTGTGTGCGTGTCACTCGTAGCTCCGGTCAGGGGAAATCACACACACGCACGGACACATACATACTTACACACGTACACACACACACACACGCACACACACACAGAGCGGTTACGAGTCGCAATGACATATCATCCTCAGCACACAGCGTCTCGCCGCCTGATGCTGCCGCCGCATCGAGATGAGGCCTTTGCACCTTTGCGCCGCACAACGGCACCGGTGTATGTACGACAGTCATCACATCCAGTTTATCTCGAAATCAAGGCGCTCTCTCTCTCTCTCTCTCTCTCTCTCTCTCTCTCTCTCTCTCTCTCTCTGTCGTCTGATGAGAGAGGCGGTCGCTGATGATATTATGATGACGTTGCCGCGCGATCCGGCCCGGCGACCACCCCGTGAGGCATATCGCTCACAGGGCGTGGAGGAGGAGTTGGAGGAGGGGCAGGAGGAGGAGGAGGTTCTTGGAGAGGGAGGGGCGGCGGCGCCACGAGGGGCGCCCGCTGCCCGTTTTATCAATTCTAATCCGTGAGCCACTGTCAGTCATCAATCACCAGACGAAGGACGCGGGGGCTCAGGCAGCAGGAGGGGGTGGTGCGGCGGGGGTGTTGTCAGCGGTTGTAAAAAGTGCTGGTGAAATGGGCGGTGATGGTGACGACGGGTTGCGCCCCCCCCCCCTTTCCCTAAAGAAAGAAAAGTGACATTCGCACAATCATCTGCTTTACCATTATCATGATCACCATCATCATCATCTCCAAAACGAGCCGTTTAAAATTCACGCAGGCGATGCTGCTGCCGCCGCCGTTGGTGGGAACAAGCACGAGGAAAAATGTAGCCATTATATCCGGCGCGGTCGACGTGTGTGTGTAAGAGAGAGAGAGAGAGCGAGAGAGAGCGAGAGAGAGAGAGAGAGAGAGAGAGAGAGAGAGAGAGAGAGCGAGCGAGAGAGAGAGAGAGAGCGTCCAGTCCACGCCTTCCCCTGGCGCGCATGCCCCTCCGGGGTGGGCCTAATGCAGGGTTATGGGAGCCTCGTGTGTGGCATCCAACGCCTGACGAAGCCTTCCCCCTCGGGCCCCCCGCCACGCCCCCCCACGCCACGCCACGCCCCGCCACGCCCCGCAGGATCACGTGGACCCTGCCGGCCATTGGGCAGCCGGGGCGCGGCCGGGCCCAGCCGGGCCGGACGCGGCAGACAGACGGGCCCCTCCGCGCGGGCCCAGTATGGGCCCAGCATGGGCGGGACGGACGGGCAGACGTTCCGAATAAATGGAGAGATACGGGCGAGTGGTGGTGAAAACATTGGAAATTAATGGTCTGGAGGGACTCGGGAGAAGTGATGACCACCCCCAGCTCTGGCCGGCTCTTGCCCCTCGGCAGCCGTGACGGCCGTCAGCAGACTGCTCCTTGATGAACAACAACAACAACAACAACAACAACAAAAACAACACACGGGGGCATTTTCTTATTGCGTTATCGCGTCAATTTGCAAACAGCTCATTGTGTAGCTCCTCCTGGGTTTTAGCCAAAAGCGCGAACCGCCAGAAGAACGTAGGACCCCCGCACGGCAGCGAGCAACGCGGTGATTAGCCCTGTGGAGGAGGAAATGGAGAGAGAGCGAGAGAGAGAGAGAGAGAGAGAGAGAGAGAGAGAGAGAGAGAGAGGAGAGTGTGAGCAGCATCGTGCGGGGTATGTGCTTGCTGGGGGAAGAAGGGGGAGGACGGGGGAGAAGGGGCGGCAGTAAGGGGAGGAAAGTAGTTTCGCTCGGCGAGATGGCGAGCGGAAAGCGTGGCGCGCGGGGGGACAAAAAATAAGTTCCGATCTAAACACACACACGCACGCACACACAGACATATCTTTTCTCTCTCTTGCTCCCTCGCTGGCGGATGGCAGGAGGGGGGGTTGGATTTCGATTGGAGAGAGGAGGTCTGCTGCCGCGCCTCTCCATGTGCTTTGTGCCGCTGGCAGCTCGCGGCAGAGGCGGCGGGTTTCGCGCGCTGTGCCGCTGCAGCCGCTGGCCGCGACCCCCGTCACCATCATCACCGCCACGGCAGATCCCTTTGCACAACCGAATGCTCTGTTTATAATGCCACACCGCAAAATCCCGAGGGTAAACTTCCCTCTGTCGGCCGGGGGTTTGTCGAGAAATTTGATATAGGTCTGTATATGCGCTGCCAGCTGCACTCGCGCTGTTGTGTGTGAGTGTGTGTGTGTTTCAGAGAGAGACAGAGCGATCGAGTTTTGTACTCTCGCTCTCAATAACATGTGTGTGCGTTTTGGCAAAACGGAAATCGAAGTGTCGAGGGAGTTTTTTTTTCTGAGCTCACATACGCACGTTATAGGTATCACAATCTACCCACGGCACCTTCAATCGCACGTTTCATTTCCGACACGCAACTACCTAGTCGCGAACAATTTATTGGAAGTGCACCAACGAGTACACCTCTATCGTATATTCAACAACTTGCGCAAGTTCAACACGCAGAACTGCTTACCGGTTCAAACACTTGATTTATTCGTGCACACATTCGCCGCGAACATTTTTGGGATACAAAGCGTTTCGCGCTCATCCAACGACCGCAGGGAGATAGGGCGCGCGGTGGTTGAGTAGGGACCCGGCTGATAACAGTCGGGGCATTGCTCACTCTCCCATCCATCGGCGAGGTCGTAACTCAGGACTGCCCTCCCTCTCCTCCACCAAGAACAACACACCATACCGCGATGGCAAAAACAGCAGAGACGGGCCCACCGACGGACGCAGCCCCGCGCAGCCCCGAACGGGCCGCCCCCTATCTGCGCCCCTCCCTGCAGCCCCTACCCGCCGCTCACACTAGCAGAGAGGGTGGCCGCGCGCCGTCCGTCCGGTGGCTGCTGGACAATTAAAGCTTTCGACCGCACATGCACATCCATCCAACCGCGCGTACTAGGGCTGCGCTGTAACCCCCTAAAATGCAGTACACAGTCGAGCACCGTTCACCCCCCCCCCCCCCCCCCCTCTGCCGCTCGCGGCGAGGCAGCCGAGCAGCACCATTCAAAACAACGCCCATGTAACACAATGAGGGGACCAAACACGCACGTACACACACACACACACATGCAAGCGTACAGACACACCATACGGGCCGCCACCCCCTTCGCGCTGCATTTGGCACCCCGGCGTGTGAGCGAGCGCCCAATGGCGACGCATCGAGTCAACTGTTTGCTCAGCCCCGGCAACAATTTACCACCGATTCGTATGAAATTGAAATAAAAAACAAACTAGAACAACATCGAATTCTTTAATTATTCATTGTCAACAAATAATGTGTAAAGTTGAGAAGTTATGGAGACATGAAATTTATAAAACATGGCTTATTTTTCTCTGTTCTTGATATCGCTTCGTTTCCTCATGAGTGGGTCCGCGGGGGGACTCGTCCATGGTCATCACCAGTGGGCAATTAGGCAAGTTTAACGACTTTTAACGACGTTGGACCGACATGTCACAGCAGCAGCGTCCCGCATCAGCAGCCATGGAGGCGGCTTTAGTGTCATGAGTGCCGCTATTACGGTATACAGCGTGTGCGGGGTGCCATCACACTGTAAAATAAAATAAGACTAAAAAAAAACTTTAAAAAATACAGAAACTCTACAACTTGAAGCCCATCGAGCCCACTTACTTACCACACGCGAGCTAGCACCCCGAAAACAACCGCAGTGACCAAAGTAGCTGAGGAGCCCAGTCTTTCATTCGCCTCTTTCCATTGGTTTCCATTAGAAATTAACTTTCTAACCACAGACCTGCAAGATTCATTTTATTCCGTTTAATCACCTGCGAATCTCGTCTTTCATTCAAAATATTATTTTGCCCCATTAAAGACTCGACGCCGTCTGATGAAAGGAGAGAGAGAGAGAGAGAGAGTATAAAGGCGAGGCAGGAAGACTTTTCGGGGAAGGCGATCGCGCCCCCTTCCGCCGGCACCCTCCGAGCCTTCTGTGTCTGAGAAAGTTTTCATCCAGTGAGGCATTCAACCCCACACCCAGTGAGGAGTGCGATGCGGGCGATCCGGCGGGGTCAGCCCGACTGGGGGCGTAAGGAAAAGGATTGTTTTAATTAGAGAGGGAAGGGGAACGAGAAGGGGAGAGGGAGAGAGCGAAAGAAGGAGAGAGACAGCGAGAGAGAGAGGATGCGACCCCTCAGTGTTTGTTCCCGACCCCATTGTGGAAGGGTGGCGCAGGGGGCGTATGTTTCGCCAGAGTGTAATTGACGGTCGGAGATTTAACCGTTTTAATCAGAGGGATTATTTGTAAGAAGCGGCGGGAGGGGGTGGGGCCTGGACTGGGAGATATTCGCTCGCATTCCGGCATCGTACACTGATGCTCATTCGGAGGAAGAGCATGGACTTTGGGTGCAGTGAAGAAAAATAAGACCGACAGAAATAAAGTTATTCCCCTTCTTAATACGCTGTGAAGTGGAGAACACTTGTCTTAAGCCCCATACTCCACCGTGCGGGTTAGTTCTGTCGGTCTGAGTGAAGCACGCGCTTTGTGAACTCAACTGCCCAAGTTCCAAGGGCGGCCATTCACTTCCGCACAGACGCGCTCAGAGGGCCGTACTAGCGCCCGTTCACCAAGAGCGCGAAACTCAACTGCCAAAAAAAGATTTGAAAAAAAGCACACACACACACACACATAGCGGTGAATAGAGCTGGCCCCATTCAACAAGCCTCGAGAACCACTGCAGCAGGTCGATTCTGTTGGTGCGGCGCCCTGACTGGTGGCGGATTACTTAAAACGCGGAGATACACAAGTGTGCGTAGCTAATCCCGCCGGCGCGGCGGGGCGTGGCGGGGCGTGGCGGAGCGTGGTGGCGGGGCGTGGCGCGGGGCGTTTGCGCGTTCGCGCTGCGGCGGCGGCGGGTGGAGGCGTCAGGCATTGAACCGGACCCTGGCGGCCCGCCCGGCGGCTCCAGCGACGCGCCGCGGCGCTGCCCGCCGACACCCTCTGGCGTCCTCGTCGCACCCGAGGCGCGCCCGCCTCGCGCCGTCTCTGTCGGTGCGGGTCGCGTCTCGCGGACCGCGTCGCGCCCGGCTCGCCACGGCCAGCTCGCCACGCCTCCGCACGACCCCCCACCCCGGCGCGGCCCGGGCGCTACCCCCACCAGCGGCCCGCCGCCCCCACCACCGCGCCGGCGGCTGCGCGCTCGCCCTCCCCTCCCGCGGCGCACGCGCGCGGCTGCCCCCTCCACCGGCGCGCCGCGTCACCTACTGCCCTCTGGCGGCCGGGAGCGGCGCGGAGCCGCGCGCAGCCAGCGCAGCCCGGCGGAGCCCGGCGCGGGGAGGGGAAGCGTGTTGGAGGCGTCAAGTGTGATCCTGCTGGTGTGTGAATGTGCGGTCGCGGCGCGGCAAGCTGCCAGCCGGGCGGGGCGGCGCGGTGCGGCGCGGCGCGGCGGCGGCGGGGAGGGGAGGGCACGCCCCGCCATTGGCTGGCGCTGTGTTGACCAATCGCGGCGCTCGAGGATGCGAGTCATTATCACTGCGGGGTGTCAAGAGGAGTGGGGGAGCGAGACGGCGCGCGGGCCCGGCCGGGCGGTGCGAGAGAGCGCGCGCGAGTGCGAGAGCGCCAGCAGCGCGCCAGCACGAGTGGAGGGGAGTGTTAAGGCTCCGGAGGCGTCAGAGTTTTGGGTCCGCTTGGTGGGGCGGGCGGGCGGGCCGGCGGAGGCGGCAGCTCGGCGTGCGAAGAGGAGGGGATGGCTTCACACTCCGGCTCGCTCGGCTCGGCTCGGGTGCGAGGTGGGGAGGCGACAGCTAGCGCCAGCCTTGAGGCCTGCGGCCGAGCGGGCCTGCAGTGGGGATCCGAGCACCACGAGAGCAACGTGTCGACGAGCGGGCCACGCCGCACCGGCCTCTCTCTCCCGCGCGCGCGCGTCCACGAGTGCACCAAGCTGAACGAGAGCGCGCGAGTGTCGTGAGTGTGTGAGAGTGAGTGAGTGAAGTGAGTGCGCACAGGATAGAATCGGATAGTGAAGCTTTACCAAGTGGGCACGCTGACCGTGCCGAAGAAGATCCCCGCATACCAAGGAAGACCGGCGCGACACCTCGGCGTCGACGCCCCTCCCCCACCTTCCCCTGTCCGGGTCACTCAAACCCCACAGGGCGTATCTGCCGGTCCCCTAACTTTTCGCCGCCTCCAGTCGGAAGGCCACCGCGGCGGCTGCTGCCACTTTCAGCGCCCCCGCACCAGCACCCCCTACCCCTACCCCCACCCCCCGCCACCTCCCCCCTCTCACGGGCGGAGACTCCACTCCGAGTCCGACCCTTGACCGCGCCGGTGCGCGCGTGTGCGTGAAGCAAAGTGAGAGTGCAGTGCAAAAGTGATATGAAAGAGTGAGACGTGCTTGTGAAAAAGGTGATGATGATGATGATTGTGGTGGTGTCGGAGGTGTGCGCGCAGCCGGCGGAGACACTCTAGTGCCTCGTCCACCACGGCAGTCTCCTGCTGGCCGCTGCACAGTCCCCCGCCGGCCGACCCCATGAGGTTTGAACAGTCCAACGTGGTCCCCGTGTCTCCGCCGCCCGCGTGCCTCGACACAGTGATGACGTCGGCGTCGCCACCGCCGCAGCCGCACCACCCCATGGCGTACCACCCCTTCCTGCAGCAGAGGCCCACCGACTTCAGGTACGTTTGTGAACCATAACCACTCACACACACACACATACAGACACACTATTCACCGGTGTGCATATAATTTCTGCGCCGTTGCGCGAGATTTGAGAGAATGCGACGCACGGCCGCGCCGGCCGGATTTTCGGGGCGTCCGGCGAAAACACAATGCTTTGTCGGCGGCCCCTCCGCCTCGGCGGCGCCGTAAGGCGAGGAGGCCCTTACCGTTTGGGGGACAAAAGGACGCTTTCGGCCTAATTATTCGCCGGGGTCGTTCATTTAGCTAATTACGGGAGATAGTCCGGTGAGAGCCCCGGCTGCCGGGGCCGCCGGCGAGGAGCAGCTTCATTGGCTGGATTAACTCTTTCTCCGGTTTCGCCGAAAGCGTAAACAGCGATGTTAAGAAATTGTCTTTGTCGGGGGCAGGTGTTGTAAATAGTTTAGATTCCATTTAAACGTCATCGACACAGCAGAGACGTTATGCTGAGGATATTTACTTCTGCGCTGGGTACATTCAGACAACTTTCGAAATTCATTTCACCCAGCACCGCCACCCGGTGTCCTGAATAAAACGGTTTGGGAGGGTCTGATTATACTCCTCACTACACCTTGGGCGTGCTGGTTACTCTCGTTGTTGATACCCGTGGTTGACGCCATTTCGTTAATGCCCTTGTTGACTCAATACGAATGGTAGGGCCTTCTTGCTTTTTGTTTGTTTTTTATTTTCTCTCATCTTTCCTTTCTTATTTTTTTACTCGCTCCTCGTCTCGTTGTCTAGTTACGGCAGGAAAATGATACCTCTCCGCACCGCACGATTACCGTACTCGAAGGGAGGTACGCAATTACGATACGTTTTGGACCACCACCGGGTCCCGGGGGATCCGGAGAGGAAGTCCGGCCCGGAGATCCCTGCCGCATGAATGACTGGGGCCGTCGTGTAGCACATGTGTGGCTTAGAAAAGAAGTCGGTAAAAATAAGTCAGTGCGCCAAATCACCCATGAAATAGAAAAACGTTGAACCGTTTATTTTATTTATTTGTTAAAACAAGAGCGGCGTCGCGAGGGTAAAACCCCGCGGGGGCGCCCGCTTATCACCGTGTTCTGCAAACGATAACATCGTCTGCTCGCGACGCTTGTGACGTTCTTTATGAGTCGAGGGTTTTATTTGTTCTTTCACATGCAACCGGCGACATTACTTGTCATTTATTTATTTTTAAAGAAGCAAAATAATGCGTTGATGGGCCATAAGTTTCATTCAGTATCCGCACATATTCTCGTGTGTTTGAGTCATGATATTTCTGCTTAAAATTTAGGAACGTCTCATAGGAACTATGGTCCACGTAATCTTCGTGTGAGTAGTGCCGCCCGGGTACAAACACACACACACACACACACAGCCAGGTGACGTCGGCACCACAAGGCTTATCTTCCTGCCTTTAGTAGCTAACTAGAAGGCGCCCGGCTGGGAGCAAACAGACTCTGTGTGGCCTCCGAAAGCTTTTTGGAGTCGTGCGAGTGGCCGCTTTGGTTTCCCATGAGGCCGACAAGGACTGCCGCTGCTGCCGCCGGCGACACCGGCCGGGCACCTCGGCCTGAAATGGAAGGATGTCGCCGAGGAATGCCGGCGACACGAAACGAATCGAGACGTCCCTGAGTCGGTTGTTGCGCGGACTCCCTCCTCTGCATCAGCCATACGACTTATTTTTCACGGAAATTATGTCGTCAACCGTTTCACCCCGTCCGATTAAAGGCAGTACAGCAATCAGGAAACCTCGTGCATTGGATAAAAATAGGATGTAGCGCGATACGCGCGTACGCGGGAAAGAGGAGCGCTGCTGCGTTTCTTTTCAATGTTAACGTTTCTTTCCGAAGGACCCCAAATCTTTCGCGTAGCAATAGCATTTCGCAAGGGCAAAGGATACGGAATAGTAAAACAGCGGTCAAAATGGCGGCCACAAAGCAGGATTGCAAAGGTGTGTGTTTTTTTCTTCTGGAATGGCCGTGTCGGCGTGTCGGCCGCGGATGGCTGACGCCGACGCTCGCACCTCGGCATCCGCGCGCCTCAGTTAAATTTGCTGGTGTCCCGCGCTTGCTTATACTTTGCCCCGATAATATGGCCACAAATTAGACAGTAATATTCGGTGTGCAGAAAAATAATCATTGTTGCAAAGGAAGAAAAACGGCATTCTCGAAAACCGTGACAAAAAGAGACGCCGCCGACGCCGGCGGGGACGTGTCACCTTCCGCCCGTGCCATGCGTGGCACACACTCATACATATTCGTTTCGAGTGCCCCACCTCCCCACCCCCCTTCGGCCCACTCACACACACACACACGCGCACAAACACACACGCGCACAAACACACACACACACACACACATACGCGCGCGTCGGCCCCTTCACGTGTGTCAGTGGCACTTTTCCGCTGTTTTGTGCCGATACATAACATTCTTAGCTCAGTCAAAGGGCGCGAGCGAGAGGCAACCGAGGGCTAGAGGGAGGAAGAGAGGGAGAGAGGAGGGAGAGATGAGGGAGAGGGGAGAGGGGGATGGGGAGGGCAAAGAGGGCCAAGGGGGTAAGAGGGAAGAGGGGCATGTCAGGGCTCCTTTCGAGAGTGCGCGGATGCGAGAGAAGGGCCTCCCTTCACCACGCCCGCACTGGTGCCAATTCATAAAAAAGTGGGGCAGAAATGTTTTCTACTGGTGCAAAGAATAAGTTGCATTTCTTTCCCCTTTTTTCCAATTTTGCAAGTTTAAGTCCGTAGTTCTGGCGTCATCCTGCCACAGTACCATGATGGGGCGTTGCAACCCCTCCCCCCTGCCTCCTCGGCGCCCCTGCGTGTGCGTACGTTTTGGGCCCCCCGCACAACCAAACCGCAGAAAACTGATCGGGGCAGACCCCGCCCCCCTGCCCCCACATACTCATCCGACCCCTCCGAAGCTGGCAAACCCAGGGCAATTCTTTTTTTTTTTT